CAGAGAACGAAAAGTAAGCCGACTTTCTACGTTTCTTTCATTGTTATATTTCAGGTCGAAATGGAATGTGCATACCAGAAGAATATTTTGCCGATAGTAAATGTGCGAATACTACCGGTATACGGAAAAATGTTAAAAAGAAAAGTATTAAACGGCTAATTTTAAAAACCAATTAAATATTTGTCTATCTGGACTAATAAATATTTTTCTTGTTGTAAGATAGAAGAATATTTAATTATTTTTTAAAATAAAATTCGATTTTCTTAATTTGGACGAGTACGATTGCATGGATGGAACGGATGACAAAGATGAAAGTTGGAGAAACGATTGTTCATACCAAGAAAGGATGTTTGATTGCGACGAACATTTATGTTCTAATGATTTGTGGTCTTATGGTGAAGGAGAATGTATAAATGGCCATGGTCATTTTGTTTATCAACCATGTCTTGTTCGTGATGATGAATGTAGATGTATGAGAGAGTACAATTATCAATGTGAAACGAGTACACGTTATCAACAATGGACGTTACCAAATGGTTTATGAGGTCCATTTTCAAATTATACCGACTCAGTATACTATAGAACAAATTATCAAGAATGTTTGTACCTTATTAAATGTGCATTGTCAGGTGCTTTTGATAGTAAATGTTTACTGTTTATATTTATCTTTTCGAACAAGTCCGATCTTACTAACGATTCATTTCCAATGAAAGACCTATGCGGAGCGAAGTTTTGCTGTGTCAAAGTGCGGTGATGAATTTCGAGACTTGTCTGACAATGACTGCTCGATTTTTGGCACAGTCATGGGATCTATGTTTCACATATGATGAGACTATTAGCTAGTGAAAGTGCGTTCGATGATGGGGTCATAGATACTATTCGAGCTCCTCCGTTGGAAGCGATGTCTTATAATTATTTTGTTTTACAGTTTCAGGAAATAAAACATTGATTTTAAGAGGTTTTGAGAGCGAGCAATACGTATCGGATATCAGTATTGAATTACCCGACTTTTCGAGGTTCAACTAGGATGGCAAAAGATTCGCTCTGCTACTGCAGACACTGTAATTCAGAGTCCGGTTCAAGTGACCAGTACACAGTGAATTAGCGAAACTGTGTACCGTCAGAAAACACGATTTTCATCAGTTTTGGCCGATTTTCAAAAATGTTTGAGCTTTTGTAATTTTTCTAATTTTATATTCGAATTTAGCAAAAAATTCTACATTTGAAACACTGTCTGCTTTAGTTTTTCAGTGCTTTCTCGGCTAGAGGACCTTGAAATACCCTTTTTGGCGGAAAACAAGAAAATTGAGGTAAATTGAAGATTACGCCCTATCAAATCATTTCGGACACTTCTAATATTTCTGATTAGTGTGGTCGATTACATATTACCAGGTGGGTTTTAAAAAAATCAAAATAAGAAGTTCTCGAAAAATCCTGGAAGAGACCTCAAGCCTCAAAAAGCTGACCAAGAGATTTCACGAAACTAAGTGTCTGGAAATGTTCCTGAGCATCCTCTGACACAGTTCCAATGCAAAAAAAATTAAAATTTTCGGGCCAGGAAAGGATCTTATCCGCCCTACTCCTTTGTGCTGTAACAAATTCTTTTCCTGCTGCTATTATACTAAATAAAGGTCGCATCTATCGAAAGACTGAAAAATAGACAATAAGCATATAACATAAGAAATCTATTCAGGAAACACTGAGCCGTTTCCAACACCATACAGTTCTTAAAGGTTTTGACGACTGCACTTTTTTATGATTAACTCAAACTAACTCTCGAATAGCTCTTAGTATCGATGCTAGAAAGATTTTGAATATATCAATGGTGGGTTTGTTCAGTCTTTGCACTCTCTGACAAATATTGTTCATTAAAAATAATTTAAAAAAACAATGACAAATGAAGAAACGAGAAGAAGTAGTAACTACTATCGACGCCAGAAGTCAAGGCAGGTGGATGTTTTTTGAATAACTTTTGATTGGAACAAGGTAGAGACTTGCGATTTTCAGTTTTGAAATCGAGACATCTGATCACATATTTCTGTAAGCA